CGCTCTCCCCACAGCGAACCCGCCCTTGGGCACGATCCCCCCTGGCATTCCGGGCCCAGGAACGCTCCAGCTCCAGGGCTGGCACTGCCTTCTTTGCCAACTCCTAACTTTAACTACAAGTTCACTACACTGAGTGCCAACGCATGCCTCTTACTCTCAGATTCAAAGGGTTTTTTCCAAGACACTGGACAAGATGACAACATTTCACCTTTGAAGAATAAAAATGCATTCATGGTTATGAAGGGCAGGCAGACAAAAAAAATCTTAATTTACTTCAGCAGCATTCTTTCATAGGTGCATACTGAGAATAGCACTAAATAACCTATATTGGAGGCCAGAAAGTTAACGTTTATTTCCATGTAAGGCTCTCAACTTGCAGTGCAAGAGGGGTGTGAAAATGCAAAACCCAAAGCAAAGACCTGTCTTTGGCAGCTGCCAGGAATGCACTGCAGTGAACACTGCCTCCTGAAAATAACCATTCTTGCAGTGCCTAGGAAATGCAAATACCAGATTTTAGTTTTACAAGTAATTAGCAAAACATTAGAAGCCTGTAATTTGTTTTCTTTGTTAAAAGTATACTAGTGCTGTACATGTTGAACAGATGCATATATTCATTAGCTACTTATACCAATTACCGTCAATCCCCATAACTGTAGCTATTCATTTGTCACCTTGAAAACAGGCACTGACCTTAAAAATAGTGTGAAAATTGCATGTATTTTATGATTGGCTTTTTGCAAATATTGAATATTTAGAAAGCAATGCTGTATTAATTTTCTTAAGTACTGTGTTAAATATAGTTTTAGGTTACAAAAATTGCTAAAATAGAAACTATGCTATGTAAGATGTTTTGTTTAAAAGAAAGGATTTGCAGCGAGTTAGCAGCCACAGGACACCTAGATCTTTCAGAGAAAAAGAATTTATTGCCTTCTTATCGGAAGAAACAAACTTCTTCCCGCCTCGAAGGCGCTGTTAGGATTAGAGGGAAGAAGTTGATGAAGACCAGACAGAATCCTGTGTTTGAATGGAATTTATGCATCATGGATGAGGTGTATGAATATGCAGCAGGCTGTTGTTTTTAAGGGTTAATCCTTTGTTAACGGGTGTCGTTTTTGGGGCTCCTGATGCCCAGAAAAGGTACCTGGACGTCTGTAACTCTTTGCTTTTATTGTCTAATATTGTCTTAATTCAATTTGTCCAAATTGTTATTACTCTAATTGTATTACTATTTTTATAACCATTTTATTACTATTAAACTTTTAAAAATTTTAAAAACAAGTGATTGGCGTTTTCCACAATAGGAAGTTCTCGCGCTTGCAGGGTGTGCAAGGAACAGGTAATTTAATCTGGCCCTTTTATTAATCTCTGTTTAGATAAGATGAAGATCCAAAAATATAAATAACCCATCAGCTCACAAATGGCCTGGTGCTAGTGGTAGCCTCCAGAGTGTTAAAAGAACATAATACCCAGCATTTATCTAACTGCAGAAACACAATGTTCCATTATCTAGAGGTAATGAACGCCACAAATGAAGTGTTCATCATATGGATAAATGAGGATTGTCTCCCTGAGAATCTGATGTCCCACCTCTCTGTGAGGATTCAGTGCTGGTGAAGTGAATATTACAGATGTGCTGATCTGTGATCGAAATTATTTTGCTGTGGTTTACATTGTTTAAATAGAATTTCCATATACAAGAAAAAAATGGAAATAGCAATCTGGTCCAATTTAAGGCTGTGTTGATCCATTATACATCTCCAATCATGTCAGATTGCTTTGTCAATTTTGAATTGGCAGAGCTGTTAAAATCACTTTCAGACTGTGCATGTCTTCAGTACACAAGCAGTTCAGTTGATTGGTGTTTGGACCCTACAATCTCTGAAATCCTGCTTATTTACCAAGCAGCACGCAAAGTTTTCCTCATCACTTGCTTTAGCAAGATATATCTTTGCAGATGTACAGAATTAATTTTCTGTATTAATTAACCTAAGTCCGGGAGAGATGATCACAAAAATTACCCAGTACTAATTGATAAATGCTCCAGCAATTCCAGATCACTGCACCACACTGTGCATCTTGAATCCCAATAGATATCAAACAGGTGCAGTTCACAAAACAGCAAAAAACCACCACAGGAAGAGGTTACTTAAATACTCTGAAGTGAAAAAAGAGGTTATAAAATCTGTCACTTATTCTCTCTCTAGTTCTGGTTTCTGTGGTTTTTGATACTTGCCAAGCATTCCACCATGACTCCAGGGCTTGCACCAAGTGGTTTTCCACCCCAGTACAAAGATCCCTTTGATTCTGAAATCAGATGTTTTAACACATTAGTAATACAGATTCAGATCAGATTAAGAGCCACAAAGTAAGACAGAAGGGAGGGTTGCATGCTCAAGGAGCAAACTTGGGTGCTTCCTCCAGACATTACTTCAGAATCCCTTTATAAATGCAAATTTAAGAATTTGAATACTAAATTAGAAATTTGAAATTAATCAATCTGAGAATATCATTACAATTTAAATAACCACAAATTACTATTTTACTTTCCCTTACTAGTGTAATGATGCAAAATACATCTAATTTCTCCAAATTTAGTGTGCCAACTAAATTTCAGGTTCCGGGAGATCAAGGATAGAAGAACTGTGTAATTAATTTTTCTTCCTAGACCATGCAAAGAGAAGAATCTTCGGAAAACTCAGAAACAAAACCTAATTTACACACTTGGAAAGAGCTTTAGTATTATTTACCAGCCATAGAGAAAATATGATATGATATTTAAAATGAGACTAAATGGAGCAGTAGTTGACCTGGCTCTGTAAAATCAGGAATTAGTAGCAGAAATTCACCTAGGTTTTTTTTTTTTCCTAACAAATATGTGACCCTCAGGTAAAAGACTGAGAATATCTACTTGTATTTTTGTAATACTTTCATTTTATTATTAAAATATGTCATATCTTAAAATATTTAAAATTTCCTGTAATCAAATCAGCTGTGAAACTACATTATTCCAAGAGATGGCAGCACCAACCTGTAAAACACATATTTTAAAATCAGCATTCATTAATAAGCATTAAACATAGAAGAGCTGCCCATTCTGGATCTGAAATCCCCTTTTAAAAGGAAACAAATCATCTTCCATGTGTGTGGAACTTGGTTTCAGACTCTGTTAGATCCTGGGAATCAAGATTTGCCTAAGTGCCAGGCAGTGTCACCATAAAACCTCATTTTTATCAAAAAGTGCAATCCATCAATCTGCTGTCTGAAAGTTCTGATACAGCTTTCAAATTCTGGAAATTCTGTGAAACTTGAAGCAACCTGGTTCCCACTGTCACAGAAGCATTCCAAAGGGAGAAGCCCTGGTTCAGGTGGGTCATGCTAAGCAGGAGAAACACTTTTTGAACCTGTGAAATACAAAGCTGTGTTTTGTGTCAGGTACATACAAGGCAACATGTGTATTTGTGATTGTAATATGTGTGGAAACCAACCATGGGACAGTTATAAAGACAAATTCTAATAATAACTGAGGAAAGTAAATCATGGAAGAAGGCCTTTGAACGTATCCTTTGTTTGCAATTAACCTTTATAAGTCTTAAGTTGATTTAGGAGTATTTGAATTGTTTTTAGACAGGAACTTTCTGCTTGTAGTTAAGCCTTAAGAGTTTTTCAATAATAACCTTTTGAAGTATAATTTTAGAATATTGCTTGTAGTAAGAATCTTTGAAACTATAGCTTTAGAATATATAAAAAGGAAACGTGCTTATCTCACACTTTAACAAAGTGAAAAGCAGCTTGAGAAACGAAGAGGAACATCGACTCAAGGATTTATAGTTTCGACCAAGGGAAGCTGGACATCACTGTTATGAGATTTATAGTCCTTGCAATTAAAAGGTGGACACACATCTGGAATCTAGACCTCCCCGGATGGGAAACTTCTTCTTTCTTTTGGAAACCAGACCTCACCATCTGGGGATACTCTTTTCTGGGATACATCCTGAGAAAAAATAAATCACAATAGGTATAGAATCGTGACGTAAAAAATTGGAATAGAAACTGCTGATGAGTAAAAATTTGGAATAGAAACTGTTGAGAAAGCTGATGAGTACCCCTATAAATACCTGTAAGTCTCAACTATTGGTGTGCAGTTGGAGGGAAAACTTCCCCCACTGTACCCAGTGCTGTATTGCTCATACTTTACCATATTAATTAATAAATTGATTGCTGCTTGAATATTGGCCTAGTCAAGCTTCTCATTTATGACATACCCTGCAATTTTGGCCCTATCCTTACCCAGATTCCAGCAACTGTTCTTGGCACTGAGCTTCACAGATCTCAAACTCACAGTACCTGGTGTGTCATTACAGACCTTGGTGTTCCCGTCGTCATCCTGGCTTTGTTCTTTTCAGTGCTGCAGAGCAAATCTAGGGAAACAAAGGCCACAGACAGTTCAGTTTTGTGTTGCAGTCTCAGAGGACCCACACAGTTCACAGAGTCCCAAGGCCATTCTCTTTGCTTACCTTTCCTTCTCAGTCAAAACAATTTCTGCTTTTACCTTATTGCTTCT